ATGTCCTTAATTCCAAAAAAAAAAAAATCCCACAATTTTTTTTTTTGAAAACATTGCACTTGCAAGCAATAGCAAGTTTGTGAAATATTGCTAGAACAACTTGTACCACACCATCTGCCACATGGGAAGAACTGAGAAGCTGGAGATCTGTCTGGGCTTTGAAATTTGATTTTTAAGTTGGTTCTGAGTAAAACCTTTTTAAGTAATTTCATTTCAGTCTTACCTTCTTCAGACTGTGTTCCCTGTCTGTGTGAGAAGAATTAGACCAGCAGCCAGTATTATATTTTCCCTTCTATCAAGGTGGTAGAGTCCTCTCATTTGCAAAGTAAATTATGCAACAATCCCAGCTCAACGCAAGGTATAAAAATCAATATTTAATGCAATGAAGCTGCAGGAATAACTTAGATATCATGGAAAAGGATACAATAGAGAACACGCCTATAAATTCATGTTCTGCAAGGGATGTTCTTCTAGACACTCAGCTGAACCATCCTTTATTCCCCAAATAATTAGTTAAGAGTTATTTATACATTGTGGTCCCACAAGATTTCTGATTTACAGTACAAAAAGCCAGGCACTGAATACAGTGATTATATTCCATCTGCACGGAGCATTTACTKACAGCAAAGTCTGTGGGCAAGTAGCTCTGGCCCGAGCTTGTGCATGTCACTGGGATGAAAAATAAAGAACATTTTAGGCAGCCGACAAAGTGCAGTTGTTAAACTGACCCTATTTTCTCTCCTTCTTTCCATTTTCCTGTATCCAGCCGTTCAGTTTCAGTGAATTTCAAAGGGACAGTGTTATTTAYGCTTCTTCCTATTTTAGAATGTTTTTATCATGTGTCATAGCACTCTGACTGCCTTAGGGGAGCTTTAATGATAATTTTATTTTTAAAAGTATAGGCTTATCTTGCCTGACCTTGATGCACATAGTAAAAGGTTGYTAAACCCCTCCTCTAGAAAACAAAACAGGGAACAAATGTCCTGTGCCTGCTGGATCAAAAGCTCAAGTGTGGCAGAGCCTTCACTACCCCAAAATATATCACCAAGGCAACTGTAGCAGTATTGCAAACAGGTATTGCAAAGGCTTCCCAACCAGGATTTAAATAATCTGATTTTCCTGCTGTATGTGCTCTTCAACACTCAGCAAGTCTTTTTAGAGATGAAAAGCATGCTAACACCATTCCAAAGAGTATCTTGGTGTAGTAGGCTGTTATCAGTGCTCTTCTGAAAGAAAATTAGGAGTGTCACTGCTCAAAAGTCATATGAGGAGCTGAGTAGAGCCTGTGCAACTTGGCTCTTGTTGTTGCTTGTACCCCTTTCCCCAAACAAATTTCTGAAAGGACAAGGAGATAACGCACTTCCCTCTACTCTCCTGGTTCCTTCTCTAGAAGGGAAAGTTCATCCTGTAATGGCACCAAGTACTTCTAGYCTTTTCTGGTTGCACTGATCTGCAACCAGAAGAATTTGATTGTAACTACTGTTCACTGCAGCTCTTCCCTCTCGAGTTGTCCCTGTGGTAGTCATGAATTCCAAGGGAGTGCATGTGGGAACACCAGCATTTTTACAACCCTTGTGTTTACATCTTCCTTTCTACTACACTAACAGCAAGCAACATGCTTATGACCCACTGTCTGCTTTTATAAATCACTGACCACATGCCAGGAAAGCTTACAAAGGGTGTTTTGAAGGGCTAATTGCAGAAGACTGCAAATTCTATTATTATCTTTTTGCATCTTGGAGAACTCTRCTCCACAAAAAATGGATCCCACCAGTGTATCAGCTTGCTTAGGACTTCCCTGCTCAAAATCATAGCAATGCTCACAGAATTCAATACCACAGTGAGCTGAAAGCCCCAGTAGCCTCGGTGTCTCTTCTCATGATGGAATAGTGGGGTGCCACAATACAGATCTCCTTGTTCTTTCCACAAAACAGAAAACATCTTCAAATTCCTTGCTTGTTCCAAAAGTACATCCTGAAGTAGGCAGTACCTGTAGGGCTTCTCCTGTAGAGTGTCTGCCAAGCATAGGACAAACGGGCTCTATTCAATCTCTTGATTTTTCAAGGACTTCTAAGGTTCCAKTCAGCTGGGTGAAAATGTTTGTCTGATTTCCAGTATCTTAGCAAAAGGAGTTTTACATCAATTTGACTCAAAATGCTCTTCAAAATTCAGTAGCAAAATGGGTCTGAGGCTGACAACATTGTCCATTTCCACCCTTTTCCTAAACAATCCAGAAGCAACCCCTCAAGATGAACCTTGGCAGGAGTACTTAGCAAGATTAGCTGCTGGCACAATGTTGTAGGAAAGCTGCCAACATGAGGTGAGGGCAGGGATTTATACCTGCAAGGCTCTCACACAGTCAATAGGTTCTCTTTTGCACATCCATGACTGCACCAAAGAAAGCCAAGGAAGGGAGATAATCCAGTGACTGTGACTGATTTAGTCACTCCAAGAGTGCTAACCCTGTGCTTTTGCCATCACTTTTTGTACACTGWATACATGTCCCAGAAATAGGATGGAAGACCAGGTTCAGGAAGAAATTACTAGAAAAAAGGAATCTGGATCAAGTAATACCACCAGCAACCAGAGCATCTCGGCAGCAGAAGCATATAACTCACTTAAAGAAAACCTGGCTTGCTGCTGGCTAAGTGAAACAGGAGAGCAAGATCATTAAATGAAAAATAAGAATACAAGTTAATGGTAAAAGATTCTCTAGAAAAGGAGAGTCAAGATCACAGGAAGCAGTTTCTCTTACAAAGGAAGTGAACTCCAGATTCAGGAACACTACATATATTTAAGTTGTTGCCCAAGAGAAGTATTTAAAAAGGTATCCAACTTTTACTAGCATTGTTACAGTTTATTCATTCTGAATTGTTCACTCATTCCCTAGTACAATGTAAATGGAATCAGGGAACAATTTAACATAGCTGAGGTATTCATCAAGACAGAACAGGAGTTTGAAGCCTGCCCTGAAACTCTCAAAAAGCGGGCTGCCATAAAGTCCCACCCCCTCTACATAACCTAACAGAAAAATATATCTTGTTTTTAAGACACATCTTAATTTACAGTCTGCAAATAAAATAACAGAAGCAAGAAGACCCTAAGAAAAGCTACATCCATTACCTTACCACTGAAGCAGATAACCTAAGCAATTTAAACAGTAGAGAAATTATTTTGAAAGAATCCATGTTATCCCAGAGCTATGTTCTTGTTACACAGCACTAAACAGTTTTATTCAGGGCATTGGCCTTGCAGGCTGCTTCTTGTTTCTAGTTCTATGGAAGACAGAGCAGAAGGGCTGGCAGGGCACATAATTTGTCCTCCTGGTGGGCATACATGCTTCAGAAAGCTTTTCCTCTCCATCTCCCTGCCACTACATGTAAATAATTTTCTCTGCCTTCTATCTTTGAAATTTAGTAGGGTGAGGGAAGGAGCTAGAAGGATTTGTTCAGCTTGTTGAACTAAATTACTACCAAAACATGCAGCAGTAACGAAAAGAAGCACTTGAGTCAGTGTCAACTGTTACTGGGAAGTCACCACACATCCCCACATGCTGTACTGCACTTCCCACAAATGTCCTTTCTGTCCTTGCCTCGTAAGAGCAGGAACCAAAGAGTCATTTGGTACCAAAACATGAAAAGAGATCATTTGACATTAGCAGGAGTGCAATAGCAGCCTCTACAGCATTCTTGCTCTGCTACTAAAGACTTAGACACACCCCACTGAAGGCAGTGGGGTATGTGCATAACTTCTGAGATCTCCTTAACACTGTGAATGTGCAGTGTGTGACAGGAATGCTTTTGCCAAAGTGCCTTTTCATGTACAAAAATACAAAGACAGAGTAAAGTAAAAGTTGGTGACACTACGACTGAAAGATGCAATAAAATAACAAATCTTAGTTTTAATCATGGGTCAGGCACACAGCAAGCACATTCTATTTTGGTTTTAAAGCTAATACTGCTCCCTGATCTCAAAAGCTGTGATAACACTGAGATTTTTAAGAACCAGATTTAGTGCTGTGTTCTTGTTTTGATAGATACTTACATGTCAGCAGTCACAGCAGATGATATTTACTTTTAGACTGCTGGTTGCATGTTCCTTAATCCTTTTGCCTGCGCTCATTCTATTGAGCAAAAGAAAATGTGTATTGTCAGAAACAGCCTTGCTTTATAAACACTGACATCTCTCTCTCYACTTAAAGCCAAGCCAGCCAAGTTCTCCAGAGCTGATTCAGGTCTTTATGATTTGAGATGCATCCGCATATCTACTTTTAAAACACTTGTCAAGGCAGACAGGTTTCAGTTGATCTTACCTTCCAAAACTTGGTAACATCTTAACANNNAAAAAAAAAAAAAAAAAAAAAAAAAAAAAAAAAAAAAAAAAAAAAAAAAAAAAAAAAAAAAAAAAAAAAAAAAAAAAAAAGAAACATGGTTACAAAGGGAGATTTGAGTTGGTGGGATCCTTCTAAGAGAGGTTACAGAAACCAATAGCGTACATTAAACATTTCCGGTATCGGTTTACAGCAGTAAGAATAGGAGTGGACAGGCAAAAAACTTCAACCGAGAATCAGATGGCAGCTGTAATACCCCAGTCAAAACGAAATCGTTTGCTGTGTCAGGAAGCAAACAGTCACAAACGCCTCGGCAAACAGTCAGACAAGACACATGTTACCTTCACCTCTGTAAACAAAACCAGAGCTCGGAATCGCCGCAGTGACAGCGACCGAACCCCGCAAGTCCTGATCCCCGGCGGTGCCACCTCGCTTCCGATGTGGCTGGCGGGTAGTCCCGATCCCCAACTCCATCGGGTGGGGGGAGATGCTCCTCCGAAGGCGAGCATCCCCCGGGACGTGGCGGCCTGGGCAAGCATCCCCCGGGACTTGRCTGCCCCGCTCCCCCCGCCTGCCTCTCCCCTCCCCCAGTAAACCCACCACAACAAAAGAGGGAGGGGAGGGGAGGAAGGCCGATCGCGCCCCTTTCCCCTTCGCCCCGGCCGCTCACCGTGCTGGGTGAAGACATTGAATCCCGCCTCTGCGGAGCGCCCGGCCGCCTCCCGCCGGCGGCCCGCCGGCCTGGCCGCGCTGCTCCCCCGCAGTCCCCGCGGCTGCTGCTGCTGCGGCGGCGGCTGGTGCTGGAGCCCCGCGCCCGGCTCCCCGACGCGGCCCACCTGCTGCCCCATGGCGGGCCGCGCTCACATCCCGCCGCTCTCGCCGCTCCCGGCCCGGCAGGCGCGTCCCCGTCCTCCCGCGGCCGGTAACGGCGGCTCCCGCGGAGCTCCGGGCTGGGGCTCACGGACTCGCCCCCGCAGCCCCCGCCGCCATCTTAAACCACAGAGCGCCGGCGGAGCGGGGACGGAGCGGCTCCCGCAGCCGCCTCCGGTCCGCCCAGGGAGGGGAGGGAGCGAGGGAGGAAAAGAGGGAGGGAGGAAAGGAAGCTGGGAGACAGGGAGGGCGGCCGCCCCTGCAGCCCAAACGGCCCCGCCGCGGCACACAGAATCCCAGAAATGTTTGGGTGGGAAGGAACCTCTGTGGATCACCCGGGCCCAAGGCAGGGTCACCTGGAGCAGGTGACACAGGAACGCGTCCAGGCGGGTTTTCAGTGTCTCCAGAGAGGGAGACTCCACGCCCTCCCGGGCAGCCTAGTCCAGTGCTCTGCCCCCTCAACGTAAAGAAGTTCTTACACAYGCTGAGGTGTGGTTTAGTTTACGGCCATTGCTGCCCCTCCTGTCTCTGGGCACCACTGAAAAAAGTCTGGCACCATCCTCTTGGCACTGCCATGTGCAGGCACACTAGTGGGGATGGGCACATGAGGGAATGCACATGGGACGTGGGCTGAGGGGCAAGAGCCCACCCAGGTGAGTTGCCGGATCACGCCCCGGGAGAGGCCTCCCATCTTGGCCACAAGCAGCAGTCCTGRAGAATCACAGAATATCCTGAGCTGGAAAGGACCCATCAGGATTGAGGCCATATCTTGGCCCTGCACAGGACAACCCCAAGAACCCCAAGTGCCTGAGAGTGTTGTCCAAATACTTCTTGAACTCYGTTAAGCGATGGCTGTGGCCATGGCCCCAAGGCTGCCCCAGCCCAACACTCTCCCTGTAGGCTACAGCCAGGCTGGTTTGCCTAGAAACCTGAGCAGGCATGAGGGTGAAGCCAGGGCTATGTGCCCAGCTGTGGGAGTGGCAGTGGGCTTGTCCAAAGCTGTAGCCAGGTGAGGGTAGGCCTCTTCTCCCCAGCAACCACGGACAGGGTGAGAAGACAGTCTTAAAGCTGTGCCAGGGGAGGTTTAGGTGGGACATTAGGATGAACTTCTTCACAGAAAGGATGATTTGATATTAGAATGGAATGGCCAGGGAGGTGGTAGAGTCACCATTCTGGAGGTGTTTATGGATGTGGCATTCACCCTAGACTGGTTGATGTGTGGTGTCAAGTCACAGGTTGGACTTGATGATCTCAAGGGTCTTTTCCAACCTGATTGATTCTGTGATCTCCATGGATTACCAGGCTCTGGGTTGACTCCTCAGGCTCCTGCCAGGAGCTGTTGTCCTGGCTAAGGGCATGGAGGAGGAAAGTGCTGCTGTGTGAATAATACCAGGAGTGGCTGGCAGCAGCAGCATCTTGTTGTTGGGTGGTTGAACATACACTGAATCCTGTAACTAATTACTAAACCATCTTCTTTCAACTTCTGTAATATTGGCATAAGGCGCTCCARTACAAAGCAGAAAGGAGGAAGTTTTGTCCTGAAATATAACAGTGCTTGTCACAGTTTAGAGGACCTGGGCAGTTGGAAGTATCTCACTCTCTATGCTAGAAACTATTTCAGCGAGGTATTGGTAATATTGTCTCATCCTGAATGAGCCACAATGCCACTCCCCTCAGATGCCTTTACCACTGAGAACTGATGTGACAGTGACAAATTGGCTTGGTAACACTCAGAGCCAACCAGCTTCCAACATCTGTGTCGCTCTCCTAGGGTGGGAAGATGAGGAGACATTTCTCTGTGAGCTTTGTGAAAGTCAGCTTTCAGTGGCAGTTCTAAGCTCATGTTCTACTTTCCCAGAGTCACAAGGTCCTGTACATACTGTTGCCCGTACTCAAACTGCTCTGCTGCAATAATAATTCTGCCTAAAATAGGGGTGGTTCATCCCATTGGGCTAATGKGTATTCTGACACAGGCTGGCTGGAGTAAATGGGAATGAGGAGTACATGGAGTCAAAAATGCCTTAACTCAATAAATTAACTGACTAAGAACATTGGGGAGATCAGGAATTACAAACAGACTTGCTAATAACACACAACAAAACAGTTCTTAAAATAGTGCTGGAACCATCCAGGGTGCAGCATGGGGTACGTGGTGCCAAGTCCAGAACCCTGTACAGACATGGTTATGTGCATATGAGCAGAGAGTGTTCCCACAGAATGGACAATCTCGGGCAGAACCAGCCCATGGGTAAACTCTGCATTAGAGCTATTTCCTGGTCTCAYTCCAGCTAGAATTTGCAGGATTTGGCATTTATAAATGGTTTGCCTTGTAAACAAAATATATGTTCTCTGGAGACTGTASAGACAACAAACACAGAACTCCCTCGTGCCATTTGCAGTTGCCATGTAGCACAGAGCCACACTTTAAAAATCAACAGAAATAGTGGGGTTTTTTTCCTAAAGCCTTTTACTTGCTGATCATGAAGAACCATCCAGAGGAAGGCCATTAGTATTTTAAAAGATGCAAGTGTCAAGAGACTGTTATATGCAAGTGCACCAAGGAGAATTGGATTTAAACACTGTTGTTATTCTTCAAGTCTCGTGAAATTTCTCATTCTCTCTCCCAGCACTTTGTGCACATAGAACAGCTCKCTGTGGGTTACATTAATGTCCAACTGCAGGAAACTTGTCTRACACACAAAACCATCTTTCCTGGGSATGGGGTCAGTCAGGGCYTTTATAAGAAGGCATGTTGCAATAGAAGAGGGCTGCAGATGGGTTTTTTACCGTTTATAATAGGTTTTTAACATCACGCTGTACCCTGTAAAAAAAGTGTCAAACCCAGAGCCGCAGCCATTGCTGGCTGTGTGCTAAACAAGCCAGACCCTCAGACTGTGTCTCACCTGGTCCCCTCAGCAGCATCATTTTTAYGGTATCATATAAACAGAGGATGCCCTGGTTGGTGGCTGCTCTTCTAGAGTCCCTGCTAGGACAGCAATGGGGATATAAGTAAACTCCTCAAACTGAAAAGGACTCCGTGTTGCTGGGTCACCAATGACACTGAGCCACACTGTTCCTTATTGTTAAAATAGAAGCTAATAAGTATTTACTTCCCAGAGTGTCATGGTTATTAACAATGCAAAGCCAAGAGGTAAAACATGCACCAATGCTATCTATTTTTATCAGCTGTTGCTATCAGCCTCATGAACTATCAGAAACATGTTGTTTTTCAAAGTTAATTTCTTGCAAAGAGGTGTGGCACTGTGCATTAAGGAGGCATCAGTAGCAGTTACTGTCCTGGCAATTTTGGTTTTCCAGTCAATCTGCCATTCATGAGCTGTTCAAGTAAGGAATAAAAAGGACCAAGGCAGCACTGTGATTACAGTCATGTGCCTGACAAGAAATGTGGTTATTTCTAGAAATACTTCTGAACTGACTTTAAATATTAATGGTATATCCATTTCTTGAAGCTTCTTATAAGCACTAACAATACATTTGCTCCCCATCCACAGCGTGCTCCAAAAATCGCACACTCGAAAAATTGCTGACTGAGCAGTCTTACGTCATACTGTGCATGACAGTCTCACTGTCATCTGCCTGAAGTATGGGTTCTGTGCCAGAAGGAGCCTGTGGACAAATTGGAGATGCCTGAGTGTTGAGTTAACTGGGCAGTTTCTATTTGCAACTTAGGAAAAATTAGCTAGCAGTATGCTGGTGGTGGCTTAAAAATTAATTCTAGCAGTAATCTTTGCTCTTCTTCCAGATCATATACGTTCTGTATACCAAAGCTACACAGAGAACAGATGTGTGTGAAATATTTGACTGGTATTTAGGATGCAGATGTACTAGTTACAGTATTTGCTAAGTGTGTAGAACAGCAGAGGCCTGATTGAGGCATTTGAAGGGATACCTGTGTACAGCATATGGGGATTTTTGTGCCTTTATTGCAGTGCCAGAACAAGTTGTGGAGCTCAGGACAGCTCTAGGTCCCCTGGGATGTCTGCAAGGCAATGGGTACTGCCCACTACATGGCCTGGGGCAGTGCTGCTCTGTCYCTCTAACAGCCTGGGCTGCACCTGCCTGATACCAGACAGCCACCTGGTTTCTGGGGTTCAGCCACCCAGGATTCTGGGGAAAGGCTTTAAAATTAAAAGAAAGATTTAAGAATCTGATAAAGACKTTGGGACACAAGGTTAGCTACTCTGCAGTAAACGCTGAAATCTTCTATGTCCTAAGCCATGTAAAAGGAAGACACAGTTTCTTGGTGTAACATGTTCAAACACTCACCCTTTCATCTCTGACTGACAGCTCTTAAAATGTCTTGTCTGCACAGATCTGTCATGGCATAATAGGTAGTGTTTCAGTGTTGTCTTAAAAGTTATTTTGAATCATTACTATGATTTAGATTAGAATTTATGTACAGTGCATGCAGGATAGCTTGGGGTACTGTCATGCCGGTTCAGTGAGAGTCTATGAAGATAAAAGCTTTCTGGGGAAGTAAGTTTTTGCCCAACAGCACAGAAGGGTTCACATGCTGCCCTTGGCAGACAAAATTTCCACTGTCAATAACTCTTCATTCTTCCACCATAGATAAAATAACACACTCTCCCACAAATGTTGCATCCCACCACCTAAGTCATCCTTCTCCTCTGTGCAAGCAGCCTTTTGTTCTGTCTTTTCTGCTGCTTAAGCATTGTCCTCATTCAAACCACTCTTCTGACACTGCCACAAGTCTAAACATTGACACCAGCCAGGAGAGCCAGCAAATAAAAGGCTCCATGCATAGGAGAGAAAGAGACTGGGCACACAGTGTTGTAGTGGAAAAGATGAGTGTGTTGAGACAGCCAGCTCACCACAGCATCTCGGGCATCCCCACTCTTCTTTTATTTGGCCCTGTGTTTTGGGGTTAGGTATGCTGTGTAACTAAGCACCCTCACGGATCAGAACCATGTAGCTTGTGCATGTAACTGTCAACAGCAGCACATTAACTGTGCTGAGCTTTTGCAGGAGCAGTGCCCATCAGGGGGTAACACATAACCTTGCACAGTCTCCAGCAGAGTGAAGCCAGAAGTGAGGAGAGATGGGAATAAGCAGATTATAGGACTTCTACAGGAATTTCTTTCCTGTTCAATATTTTTTTCTAAGTACTACAGCTGCACCACCCTTCCCAAGCATCTGTTCCAGGCACTCAAGGCTGCAGAAGA